GCGTACCATAATAGTGTAGTAGTATATAAAGATATGGCGATGTGTTGCTTTTTAACAAAATAAAAGTAAAATAGGGATCTCGTTGAAGTTGGGCTTCACTTTAGAATCTCCTTAATAGATAGACCTCGAATATATACATATAATATATTTATGTATTTGTCGAAGCAATTTTAAAATTGTATAGCTATTATTTTGCTTTAACTTACTTTTATCTTTTTCTAGTTCATAAAAATTAGAAAAAAATAAAGAGTGATTTAAACCGAAATTAAAGTTAATATCCACGTTGGTAGAAATGAGTACCAGCCTGCGATGGATCCAAACTCTGATTGTATCGAAAGTTTCAATTAAAATTTGCTACCGATTTAAAAAAAATGGTTCCATTTCAAGTGAGAGTCTAATTCAATTAACATCTACCCTTTACAAATAATTTCATTGATCATCCAATTTGAATTCTGTTGAAATTAGATTTATAATATATTGAATTTTTAATTTTGTGTATTGAATTCTGTATGTATAATTACTGTAATTAATCACGGAAATTTTTATAGTGATATAATTTTTAATAAGTTTTGATTGCGATTATACGACTGCGTTTGACAAGCACGTTATTAGCGCTAGTCATTTTATCTTTATCATTCATCAGACGTAATTAAATAAAAATAAAAATAAGGAAATAAAAACAGAATAATGCAGCTTATGTATCCCAAATACAGCTTACGTAACGTGTAATTATAATTGCAAGCAGATGGTGTTACGAACTATGTATGTTATTTCACGCATTCTTTATCGTTCACATGCATCAGTATAAATTTCTATGATTAATTACAGTAATTATACTCATGGAATTGAATACAAAATAAAAAATTTAATATATTATATCACTATAAAAATTTCCATGATTAATTACAGTAATTGTACGTACAGAATTGAATACAAAATTAAAAATTCAATATATTATAAATCTAATTTCAACAGAATTCAAATCGGATTATCAATGAAATTATTTGTAAAGGTAGATGTTAATCGAATTAGACTCTCACTTAAAATGGAACCATTTTTTTTAAATCGGTAGCAAATTTTAACTGAAACTTTCGATACAATCAGAGTTTGGATCCATCGCAGGCTGATATTCGTTTCTACCAACGTGGATATTAACTTTAATGTCGGTTTAAATCACTCTTTATTTTTTTCTAATTTTAATGAACTAGAAAAAGTATAAAAGTAAGTTAAAGTTCCTTCTTTTTTACGTACGAAAATTGTAACAATTAAATTTGCATCTTGCATTATTAACAACTTGCGGTTGATTCCTACGGCCTTATCTATATGCTTCTTATTTACGCATTCTTTTTTAATTTTTTGATTCATAGAACTAAAAAAAAAAGATAAAAAGTAAGTTAAAACAAGATTAAAGCTAATCTATTTACATTGGTAACGAGCGTGAGTCGATTCTTTCATTGGACGCGAGGGAAACCGCGAGCCACGCGTTCTTTACATCCTTCGCGAGTGAAATCTTGGCGCGGGAGTATCATCGATGATTAATCACCAGTGCATCGCATCAATGTGCTTGCACACGAATGCATCGGGCTGTTATGTAACCGCTGTCGCGCGCGGCTTCTCCGGCTTCGGCCAAGTGATTTATCAAATACTGGTACTCGGAAGGATAGCGACAGGGTCGCGAACTTTCCGACATCGGCGATTATCTTGGACGACCAGGAATGAACTACTAATCGATAGGTTCTGCTCGAATCAGCTACTCTCTCGCACTTTCCACATTTGGAAAGTATAAAGTAACGAGCGTAGATTACGCATGGATTTCCTCGCCGACAGGAAAAGGCGAAAATTGGAGCACCAAGAGAGCGGAACACCAAGCGAACAAAACTGGACGTCTTTTGTTCAGTTGAGTCTTTGGATAATCTATTAAAGATGTTTTCTTAAATTACAGTTTCTAAATTATGTAAGAGGATGCAATTATAGCAACTGCAAAATTGACAGATATTCTATCACGATATTCTATCACATCCTTGCGTGACCAATAATCAAGTGATTATACGATAGTTTTTGTCAAATTAAACGCAATTTTTTTCCGCATATTAACTTAGTTTTTTTATCTTCACGTGTATCTAGCAAGCTGCTTATTCATTCTCGATTAGTGTTCGAAAAAAGAAGTAATAAAATTGAATGACTCTTCATAAACAATTCTCATAAATGTTAAACACTGAAGATTGAAGACTGCGGTGCTTTCGATATATGTGCACTTAATGGAATAGCTTGCCCCGCTTATTCTGCGTGACGTGAATTTGCGATATATATGATATTGTCAACATGCGCTAGAATTATCCTCTTGATAGCTCAATCATTCGGATATGTCGCAATGAAATTGTACGACAAAATCTTCAAGGGTATCGAGAAGATCGCGAACTCGAGATCAGGTTTTTCTCTAGGAAGTTAATAAAGTTTCTTTTATTATCAGTTTAAAAAATAACGAGATAATCTGTAAACAAAGGTTAATTAAATTGAAGGAAGGAAACATGAAGAACTTTGAAAATATCAATTTTTTTCTCCATTTTGATTTTTTATCTTACGCTATAATCATACAATGTTGAAAATTTGTTTTTGATGTTACGTCTTTAATGCTCGTGCCAAGACATGCAATAAACGTCCACCTGTATGATATATCTTCCCACTTCTGTGCATCTGTACACCTATGCCAACAATTATCCGTTTTCTCAGCCCGTTTGAAGATAAACACATTTGATGCACGAATATCACGCCCATCCGGTGCATCTGCACCGAATACCACGCATTTCTCATCAGCTGATCATACTACTTATAGATAATATTAGAGATAATGCACTTATCGTAATATAAATAACATTATAAATCTCGTTATTAACACTATCGAGATCGAAAAATGCTGGATCGTAATTACATATATAATCGTATTTCGACATAACAATTTTTTTTTTAAACACTAAGTATAAGCGTATTCAGGCCTATATGACGAAATATGATACATATGCATGTACATATATAGAATATAGATAATTCACTGGGAATTATTTAGGCAAAAAAGATCTAGCTTTGACCATCATAGGTAATATTTTTCGCAATAAATTTATTTAAGGTTTTCAGCACATTGTCAATTTAATTTAACTTGTAATATTATTGCAGTAGTTTAATTGCGTTAGATAAAGTCCGGAAATATTTCGGCGCGCAGTTTGAATAACTACAATACAAAAATATTATATATATGCATGTACATATATAGGATATAGATAATTCATTGGGAATTATTTAGGCAAAAAAGATCTACCTTTGACCGTCATAGGCCTGAATACGCTTATACTTAGTGTTTAATTCTTGTCGGTCCGAATAAAAAAAATTTTTTTTTTATTATACTTGTATTATATGTCAGAGCTGTCTAAGGTACCTATTATGGAACATATCGGAATGAATTCTGATCGGAATAAGGAATTATTCCGTTTTCTCCAGAAAACATAATAGAAATTTAGGGAATACCCGGGAAAAAATATTATATACGAATATATGGACATATTTTATATATAAATTTACATAAAATATAGCAATTTTTTAATATAATTATATATAATTTTATATAATTGTAAGTATTTTAATATAATTATACAATCATAAGTTATATATGAAACATTTTTTCCCGGGTATTCCCGGGTATAATTGAATAATTCCGATCAAAATCCAGTCCGACTTGTTCCATGATAGGTGCTCAGGACCGGGTATTTTTAGCTTGAAATTAAAATCTCGGTATGCATGCTTATTACCATTCCTACTCCTCGCTTATTACCATTCCTACTCCTTTATTGCTGTTTCATCGTAGCGCCCGACTCTCGGTCTCAGGCACTGGTCTGAAATCGTTAAAAGTTTTGGACCTGTGTCATTCATTATAAAAGTATTCTGTTAAAATATTATAAAATACTATTATTCATAATCATTTCAATTCACTTTAACGAGCGCATTGGAGTGAGTAGGAGCTGTGGTAGGAGCATATTGTAGAGCATGTTGAAGCATGCGACAGGAACAAAGTAGAGTCTCTATTGCAAACGTTGCAGCAATGTTGCTGCAAGTTCCTGTGTCATGTGGGTGGCGCTATATGCAGACCAGATCGTGCGTACTTACAATGTCATATATATACGCGATCACGAAACCATAAAGTTACATAGAGGGAACGCGATCTAGTTCAGTTTGATTGACAATGCGTTTTCGATTGCAAGTATCGAGTGCATACGACCGTCGTATTTCGGGCAGTCTCCAAAAATCGTGGCGTGCGGTATGCGGAAAGTTCGAATGTTCCCTTCGTTTCGGAAACAATCAAATAAGAAGTTAGACACATGTATTGTCAAAATTATTCCATTTTCCCTAAAAAAAAAAATAGCATGAAAGAAGAACATCAGGCAACACAGAATAGAAATATTCCAGGGAATAATTGAACAATTCCGAATGGTTTCATAATACATGCCCGGAAAAATGAAAACCTCCGGACATTACATTGATTACATAATGACTCCTCCCTCCCCCCCTTCGCGGAGAGCGCGCGAGTGACGTTCCATGTTCTGTCAATGAAATTAGGGAAAGAGAGCGCGAATATGTCACTCGCTCAACGTAAATTATAGCGGTAGGTCGGAAGCTACGGCGCGTCTCGTGTGATTGCGCGTCATTGTTTTCGCCGTAATAATTGTCGAAGGCACGTCGCCGTCTCGCGGGATGTGAGACGTGAGTCAGGGTGGTATCGGTCGGTCGTGATGATCACAGCCGCGGCGCATCGTCAGAGGTGCTTATCTACGTACGTTTGGCATGCTGTAGCTGGTAGCATACCGTGGCATACACTGGAGCATACTATAAACGCTACACGTGTATACTCCGCTACGCGCGGCGGAGTCGGCGGAGACGCGGACGCGGCGGATTCGGTGTGGTGCCTCCGAGCGTGAATTCGCTCGCTTGCACGCACACTCGCGGCTCGTCCGTTCGGGTCGGCTAACCAGTCGGTCGGTCGGTCGGTCGGTTGGTCAGGCAAGAAAACCAGCCACGGGAGCGTCAGTCAACAATCGAACACGCGGCAGTGAACACCGCCGAAATGGAAACTCGCGTCGACGGGCGAACGACAGCGATGGCGATGACGGAGACGGCCGTCGCGTCCACGGCCGATGACGACGACGAGCGCCGACGAGGATCGATCGCCGTCACGTGGAGTCGCTGCAAAAAGCTGCTGCTCGATTTTCACTTCAACTCCGATCGGATATTTTACTGGTGAGTGCGCGGAAGTGCGGGACCATTTCCTTTTCCCCTGTCCACCTTCCCACCCCTCGTCGTTTGTCGGTTCCGCGCCAACCGGAAGAGCCTGGATGCGCAATAGCGCAATGAGGGGGAGGGGAACGCCGCTCGATTCTATCGCTCTCGATTCCCGGCAATTCCCGGCGAGTCCCGGTTGCATTCACTTGCACGGGATCTCGCTATTGTTTATTGTCACGTTCCGTCTGCGCGTCTTCTTGGCAAGCTCCGAATTTAGCCGCAGCTATTTTCTCTCTCTTGGTATATTTACATATATATATTTTAATCGTAACGTATTCCCCTTTTTTTCCCCGTCTTTTTCGTGCACGGTTTTGCTGCATCGATAGCTGAGATTTGACCTGTCTCAAATTGAATAAATAAGCGCGACACGGCGCAATCGCAAAAAAGAACGAGCTCTCAAAAACGAGTCTCGCTCGAATGCTTGTAGTTAACGAAAGTCAGGCTGTTTACACTTTGCTGCACTTTTCGCGGTTAAAACGAAACGTCTGTATAAAATACGTATGGCAATAAAGTTCGATGAATGAAGGAACATAAATACTACCACCCAAGCAGAATAACGTTAAAATGACATTAAAATGAATCGGAAATGATTGAAAAATTACTTTTAATGATCATTTTGATATTATAGTGATTTGTTGTTCTGCTTGGGTCACTTAATTAATATACAAATGATCTTTATTGTCCTTCAAAGTAATCCCTTCTAGAGACAATACACTTCTGACAATGCTCATACAGCTTGCACAAACTCTGTGAAAAGTCATCTTAGGATATTGTCTTAAGTTTTGTTATCACACAATCTCAAGTCATAATAATGTCATAAGGGCATCATCATGACCTTAGTTGTTGTAAAATTATTTTTAAGAATCAACTGACGTTATGATGACATTATGACTTGTGACATCGTTATGATTAATTATGATTCTTTCTATATTCTACCTGGGATTCTAATTCAAAATATATATATACACTGAGAGAAAAGTACAAATTTTAATAATTGTTTGTATAGTACTAATATAACATTTATTTACGGAAAATAAATATTTGCTAAATAAAAAGTAGTAATAATTAAGTCACAAATTAATGATTCTTGTATCAAATAAATACTCAGTTAGCACCGTGACTATCTTGTTGTTAACATGCTGCTTGCTGAGTATACTTTACTAAGTACACTGTTAGAAGTGTTCTTAAATTTCATTAACTTTTAAGTTACACAATTGAATTTAATTTGAATTTAATTTCATGACATTACATTAAATTTAATGTATTTGTAACTAAAAAGTATATTTATGTACATGTACATAAAATTTAATGTATTTTTCATGAAAATTTATGAAATTTAATGTACTTTTCATAAAATTTTATTAAAAGTACATTAAATTTCATAAATTTAATATACAGGTTCATTACATTTAAGTAACTACACACTGTAACTAAATTTTCAGTTAAATCATTCATTACTTTTAATTTCGTTCATAACCACGAGCTTCATTTGCATGTAAAGGAAGCTCATGGTTACATTTCTAACAGTGTACGTGCTCCTACCAGAATTGTAGCAACTGAGTCCGCATTTGTTGGCAACTCGATGCCTTCGATGTGACATTGATTTGACACCTTTAGGTAGCAACTTGCCAGCAATTTGCCGACAATTGTAAAATCTTTATCATCAAAATTCGTACTATTGTCATCATATTATCATACTAAAATCGCACAACGCTGTCATATTGATGACGACGCAAGGTAATGGCTGCGTTCAGCAGAGAAAATTAATCAGTTTTAGCGCTTAGCGATTCTTTAATATGATTGATTCTTGCCTTTAGTTCTTTGTTAAATCTAAGTGTTGGAACCAATCGTATTAAAGAATTACTAAGCGCTGACTGATTAGTTTTCTCATTAAACTGCTGGCAATACGTATGCACATTGTTGTCATCATGTTGCTACAATGTCGATAAATCATTGAAGACAAATCTACGGCAAGTTGCCGATATAAGCAATAACAGATTTATGCGATTTTACTGTTAACATTTAATAAATATTCAACTGGCACTATTTAAACAAATAGTTACCAAAAAAGGCATTTTTCTCTTAGTCTACGGCGATTCTTAGGTTTATTCGCATCGTATTCTTCAATGCGCTCGTTCATCGCGACTGGAGTGAGTAGGTGTTATGGTAAGAGCATGTTGGAACACATAATTGGAACACATGCGACGCAAACAAACTTCTAGAATCAATGTTGCATTACTGTTTTGTATCATTCTCTCAGGAGTGGTTCACTTGCCCACTGCCAATCACAGCGACTTCTGCGTAGGGAGGTTTTTTAAATATTTTTAGCGCTGTGATTGGCTTGTACGCAATTGATTTGTGTGCAATTATACACCCCCTATTCTTTCTATAATCTCACTTCTTTTTTGGAGTAAGATTTCACTTCCTTGGAGTGAAATTTCACTCAAAACGAGTGAAAATTGCCACTCTTTTTCAAGAAGTGAAATATTTTCGCTCTTCTCCAAAAATTGTTGTATTTTCACTCTAAGGCCCAATTGCACCAATGTAACTTTGATTTTAAACGAGGCTTAAAACTTTTTATCTCTGTCTTTTTTCGGCTTTAAAATGAGACAGAGAGAGTATTAAGTCTCGCTTAGAGGCAAAGTAACCGGTCCTTGGCGCAACCGGTCCTTAGATTGAGATTTCACTCCAAGAAATTTAGAGAGATACACTTCCGATCTTGTGTTTCCTAAATTAAAGATGATGAAAGGGACTCGATTCACAAATATTTCGAAATCATGAGATAACAAGACTACACTGTTAGAAATTTCTCAATGAATTTTAATTAACATGTAAAGGAAGCATGTGGTTATGCACGAAATTAAATGTAATGAATGATGTAAATAAAAACTAAATTACCGTAGTTTTAAATGTGATGAACGTGTGTATTGAAATTAATGAACACATTACTACATGGGCTGAAAAGTCCCGGAATTTTTAATGAAAACAAGGGTTTTTTGGGCAAAGTTATATTTATTCCTCAACATAGTTGCCTTCGAGGGCGATACACATGGTATAGCAATTTTCCAACATTTCGATGCCCTTTCTGTAGTACGAAACGTCCAAGCCTTCGAAATATGCCTCGGTTTCCGCGATGATTTCCTCATTCGATCTGAATTTCTTTCCCTGGAGCCACCGCTTGAAGTTTGGGAATTCAGTTACAGAGAAATTAAACTTCATTCACCAATGTACATTAAAAGTTAACGAAATTTAAGAACAGTGTAATCATGAGATAACAAGGCGATATCCAAAGATGACTTTTTACAGAGTTTCCGCAAGCTGTTTGAACGCTATTAGAAGTGTATTGTTTCTAGAAGGGATTACTTTGAAGGACAAAAGTCATTTATATATTAATTAAATGATGCTTATTTTCTCATAACATTCCCCAAATTTTACTGCCACATCACGTATAATGTATATATATAAATTTCCACAAAAACAAAGAAGAATTTAAGAGACGGAGTGCAGAGGATGCAAGTAAATGCGAAAACGAGCGAGACAACACAAGAGCGCCCTTTTCTCTTTTACATTTACTTACAGATGTCGATACGTTTGTAATTGATAATTCGATTCGTAGAGAAGATAGGGAAAATCGAAGACGTTGAAAAAACAGATCGCTGTCAGATCGAAAACAAGAATCGCATGAATAACGAATAATGCCCGCTGGTCAGATGAATCGGTCAGATATAAGCCTGGAACGTCTCATATATTAGATACAACTCCACAGCTATAACGCGAGCAGAAAAGCATAACTTAGATTTTGGATTCATGAAACACATTTTTACGAAATAATATCTATCGTCTATCCTCATGTTTTTGTAGCTCTTGCATCGCTTACATGTCATGCATTTATAAGCGCGCATTCTACTTGGAAGAACAAAGAGAGAAGTTGAACTCGTGAAGATATTGAAAATCGAAGACTTTGTTAAAGAGACGGGTCACTGCTAGATCGGAGAGTGACAAGAATTGCATGAATAACAAATGATGCTAGTCAGATGGATGGTCGGTTAGATATTAGCCTATAGGAATATCTTACATATATATATTACAGCTTTACTACTGTAATGCAGGCAGAAGAGAAGAACTTAGATCTTAGCTTAGATTTTAGATTCATGAATCACATTTGTACGAAATAACATCTATTATCTTGCGCTTTTGTTGTCTACGTGCTAGATGTGTAATTCCTGCATCGATTACACGCGTCTAGAAATTTTCCTTGAAAGAACAAAACAAATTAATTAACCCAGGAATCTGTGTATATAACTCATATATTTAGGTGTATATATGTCAGAATTAATTGCGAATTAATACGTTGGGACACGTATTATTATTTATCATCTTCTGTGCCGCGTCACTGATGATCGGCCACACCGGACTTTCCATTTATTTTGGCTACAAAAAAGGAACATATAAATTATAAAATAATTTTTGATATCATATATATGGATACATAATTATACGTATATGGTGTTTGATGCAATATCGATATATTAAGTTTGGTACTTTTTCTTTATAATAATAATTTTTGTAATTTTTTTACCACTATGAAATAATATTTAGCAAATAAAGTAATCATAAACAAAAATACTATGACAACCATGCAGTGCGGTCAACTCACTAAACAGGAATATATAGATATGTATTTTTTGTGACGTTAAAGGAATACATAAGTCCTTGGTACCTATCAAAATGTTTTGTTATTAACACATGAATAAAACAGAACTGTGAAAAATAAGATTATGAAACAAAATTATTCCAAATCATTACGCTATTTTAACCCGGTGTCATTGTGGTGTTAAAATGTTACGCGGACGTTGAGGTGGATCATGATAATCCGAATATTTTTTCTATCTATTCTCGCAATGTCAACAATGGTTTTAGAAAGTCTTAGCTCCAGCTACAGAGCGGTTAGTTAAAATCTACGAAGTATGTAAGAAAATACAGATGTTTAAAAATGTCTCGGGTCATTATAACCCAACCACAATGACACCAGAGTAAAATTAAGAAAATGTTCTCAGAACTAATACGTTCCAGAAAGCATCTATCATGAAACAAGTCGCTGAATGGATTCCGATCGGAATTATTCATTTTTCCTAGAGAACACAGTAGAAATCTAGAGAACAATAGAATAATTCCGATTGGAATTTATTCCGAATAATTAAATATAATACATACCTAATGACGGGCCAAAGTTAGCGCATGTTAAAAATATCAAAATGCATATTAACGTAACATAATATTACATCGCTAATATCTGTACGTATTGCTAATATTTAAATTGCTATTCCTAATATTCATACTTGTTATTGCACGTCACCTTTATTTTCCATCTATGAGGGATTGACAGAGGACAAACACGATCAGTTACGAGATAGATTAGACTGATCAAAGGGAGAGGCCTTCGGGAGGAATCGTAGAGAGACCTTGAGACATTTCAAGGTCTTCTTAAAACCTTTGTTATAAGTCCCCTAATCTCTAACTCCTAGCGTATGTTATTATTTTTTCTCTATAATAAATGCGACAAATCTTCATTAGTATTTATATTTTCCCAGACAATGGATGTCTAAAAGACGTCATAAAGACATCTGTTAGAATATACATATACTCTTTCACTCTTTTTCAAGACTGGCTCAGTCTTCATTGTTTAGAGTGAGAGTTCACTTTGAAGAATTTAAAAAGTAAAAGATATCTGAAAGACATCATAAAGAGATCCTTTAAACAATGTGTGTTGTCTGGGTTGCTGATAGATATGTTTTATGTGATAACGATTTCTGCAACATTGTGTTAAACCGGAAATGAATAAAACGACCGTTTCGATATGTACGAGATACGTGGCAAGACTGAAGAAAACGTGATATCTTAATTTTATGCGAGAGTAAGTTTTCCTACATGAACATAATTTATTCGCTATTATCAAAAATAAACACAAACATTGCAAGAGATAGCCCTCAAGATAAGCGTGCTACTTACTTACTCTTGTCGATTCGCTGTAAACGGAAAAAGGAAAAAGTGTGTAGTAGTAGGAATAATGTATCCAATGCATAATATTAAAATGCAAAATATTAATAATTTTTTCGCACAATCACACGCATGTTTATTTCGAAGAGTTATACTATCTCTCACCGATACACCATCATCGATCTCTAAAACAATCAGATGCGATCCCAGAATTCTTATCTTTATCATTATCTACTATTTGGAGGAAAAACCAAGAAAAAATCAGGTCCAAATGTTTGTCAAAGTATTCGTTTTTACAAAAATGATCATATTTTTTAATACGATAACGGATAATGCTTATCACGTATCTCGATGCATTTGACGTTATGTTGTTTTAAAAAGAAATTCTTTCGCATTTAAAATTGCATCCGATATATTACGATTACACGCGACTGTCGAAATTAGAGTTGCTCATCCGCTTTTTGCAATACCGTAAGTCTATTTCGCGAGTCACATACATCAAGATAATTATTTCTAGACGAGAGAAGTAGATGACGAGATATCGTCGCGTGTATTAACTGAGTTAGCGCGGGTTTCAGCTAATTTTCGCAATGTCGCAGTGAGATCGCACGATTCATATTGTTCATTAGCAATCGAGTAAAATCCACGAGAATGTTATGGAAATAGACTCCATTCGAGCACTCACCTTGTAAAAAATACGACTTTAGCAAATTTTTCAAAAATCTCTTTCGAGGGGGAGATTCTTGAAGTCTAAATCTCTTTAGTTTTCGCTAACGTTGACAAAATTACTTTCAAGTTTTTAGCAACAGCACCGAGCACTAAAATGTCAAAATTATGTAACAGAATATGTGTATACTTACTATAAATAGTTCACGGTTTTGTGCAAGAGCATATAAAGACGATTTTCAAGATATCTAATTTTCGATACTGAGTTCGAATCTGCCATTGAAATATTTTCATTAAATCCGGTTTTTAAGATATAAAAAAAGATTATATTTTTTCTAATATATAATGAAGTTTTATTTATGAAATTAGAAAAGAAATTAGAAGTTGAACGTTTAATTTTTATTCTTTATATGATTTTGAATTGATTTCGTATATATGGATTGATATATTAGCAACCTTAGCATATCTTCGTATCCAATATCTATAACATTTCTCAAATTTTGATTATCATCAAATCTTGATAGAAACATTTGCTTTCCTTATCATTTATCGCACACAAATTATTCAGAAAGAAATACTATATCTTACAAATTCAGCATATATGCTTTAAATTCGATAAAATTTTTCCGACAATATATTCGAACTCAGGCGCTCCAAAATACTTTTAATAAAAGCTATTTTTTTGGACTAAAAATTATTTAAAATTTGTGAACTCTAGTGCTATTAAACGGATAAAAATAAATTAGTTATAAATTATAAATGACGTTGAAAATTTGGTGAATATTTCTGAACGAAGTTATTTTGTGATACTTAAATTTTATTAATTTTCGTACAAATTCTACGTTTTTTGAAAGTTAATTTTTTAATAATTTTATTGAAAATACTGCAGTATTATTGCTCTCGACAACCATCTTCGAGATACGTACATAATTTCACTAATGAATTTCAACAATATTTATCTAGGTGTTTTTTTGCTTTTATTTCTTCACGCATCTCCTTTATCTTTATACAGAGCATGTTCATGAAATCATTAATTTTTAATGTGCATCACATTAGATAATTTTTTGAAATTTTACGCGTTTTTAGAAATGTTTTTAAAGTAGCACGTCTGATAATGAGAGTCAAAAAGAGAGAGTCTTATTCTTAAGGTAACGCAAAACAATCTGAAAGGTTTGTTCGTATCAACAGGGTATATATCTGCTTGATATAATTAGCGATTAATTATTAGCTTAATTGACCTAGATGATAGCGGGATTAATAAAGTTGGATCTCGTGTCAACCGGGACTATCTGATTGCGTACAATTCTAAAGTCACCTTGACTGTAATATCTAATTTGCAGTAAGCCGCAAGCAAAATTCAGTTTCAAAATCTCAAGCTTTTTATAAATATCAAACAACTTATGCAGGGTGTCTCTGATAGACAAATTGCGACATCATATTTTACAAGTGAAAATAAGAAAAAAAAAATTATATGAAGTTTGGCTAAAAATGCCTTATTACAAAGTTATAAACAAATATTGAAATGAGACATAAAATTAAGAAATAATGGATTTTTCATTACACAGAATATAAAAGTATAGGTACATTTCGTGTATGAAAAAGATCGAATGCGTTTATCTCATGTATGTATATTCTCACATCATATATACTATCTTTAAACGATTCAGTATCTGTTCGTAAATATTTTTTAGCCTTGAGACAACGGCTATGAAAAGAATAGCTTCGATTTTCTTTGTATAAAATAATAACTGCTAACGTTCAAAATGCTAATGTTCCATCACAATGCCATCAAAATGTTTCCATTTAATATTTGTGCATAACTTTGCATGAAGTATTTTTAGCTTCTTTATGCAACAAACTTTACACAACCTTTTTTTTTATATGGAATTGCAAATCTCGCAGTTTTTCCGTTAAATCCTGAAATAATCCGTTTATATATATATATTTTAGTTTATATAACCCGTATATTTGTTACATATCTATGTAGGACAAATTAAAAAAAAGAAACGAATTCAATAAAGCTACGAAAATTAATAAGTAATAAAATTGTATTTCCAGTAAAAATAAAAAAGTGAGAAATATTGTTGATAAAATCAAATTACGCAAACTTAGTAAACCTGACGATGTCTGAACATTCGGTTGAATTAACTGGAATTTTGGTAGAAAATGAATGATCCACAGAATTCTGATCAAGCCTATTAAATTTCTGATTAAATTTAGTTAAATTTACTAGAATTCTAGTATAATCAGAAATCTAGTAGAAATTAACTAGTTAAATTAACTAGAATTCTAGATCGTTCATTTTCCATCAGAATTCCAGTTAATTCAATCAAACATTTTTCTTCGTGTGTGCTTTCGCATTATAATTCATAGATCATTGTCCCCGACTTAGTCAGCTTATCGATTACTATCGTCTGATGGTCATATTGATCATGGATTGAATTTATGATTTGATCTATAGTGTCTGACTAACGTTATGTTCAAGTTTATATAACAGCATTTTCGAATACGAATTGACGCTTTATCGAGTTTATTTTTATTTAATTAATCGAAGCTTGTACTGCAATAGTGAGCTAAGGTATTTTGTAAAAACGAAAAATAAATATATTTTCGTATTACTTTAACTTTAGAATTTTTCTCCGTTTTTACAAAATGCGAGTTAACTCACTTGTTGCAGTAAGTTCTTCAATTATTAATTTTATCTATGTGCTACACACACACACATTCATTGTTTTAAATTTTTACGATTGTTCAATGTTATGCGTTCATTTTTTATTTGTCTTAATTAGTTCAATTGTCTTCCATTTTCTTTATTTTCATGTCTTTCAGGGTCGGATATAATATAGCTACAAAACCGTGGCTTTGGCTAATAATTTCCCTGTGCCTAAATCTCGTCTTCGGTCTCGGACTGTTACTCTGGAGGGAAGAGATCGATGAAGTAGAACTCTATATGCCAATCGATTCTGTATTTCGCAAGGATGCTGCATGGGTGAAGGAGCATTTCCGAGACGATCTCAGGCACGAAAGTGTCATCGTCACTGCTCCTAACGTGCTGGATCCCGAAGTGCTGCGATCGGTACATAGGCGATCATGAATTATACGAGTATCAGCGAAGGTTCTTTTCTACATTAATGCACACTTCTCTCCGCGATAGTTAAACTAATTGTCGTCACATTCATTCGAAAAACTTTCGCAATAAAATCTCCTTGTTACATTTTAAGATACTTTTAAGATAAAAATTAATCAGTGATCATTGAGATTATCAAATTGATACATTCGCGTGGATTTTTTCTTTTAAATTAAACTGTATACACACACACATATATTATATATATAAATATATATATA